TGATTTCACTGTTTAGCTTAACGATTACCATTGTTATAACCATTTCGTTTCCAAACCTCCGATATTGGTATTGGCGATCTTGTTTAACAAAATTTGTTTAAAATAATCTTGTCAGCAGAAATAGACAAAACTTTTGAAGAAATATTGTAAGCACTAATTAAAGATAAAATTCTGATAAAATTCCTGATGTTACTCTATTTACTCTTCTTATTATTCATATTTTGAATTTGATGTATAAATACTTATAAACACCTTGAATTACTTTTTATGAACACTTATTTTTATGATCCTCTTATTAAAATAAATGAAAAGTGTTATTTACAGTAATTAGGAAAAAAAGATATTATAAGGCAAACAAAATTTGCGTTAAACAAGCGCATTTTCTTTGTTGTAGTTGAAAAATCTTTTAAGGCAATTTATTTTTTTTTCTTCTGTAGTTGGAATTTTAAATAACATTTTTTTTTTTAATGGGTTTAATTTAATTCAGATTTGAATTTCATTTATTTTCATTTCATTTAGTTTCAATTCAATTTAGTTTAATTTCGATTCAATTTAGTTTAATTTCCATTTATTTAGTTTAGTGTTTTAGTTTAATTTTTAATTCAATGTAGTTTAATCTCGATTCATTTAGTTTCGTGTTTTATAGTTAAGTTTATAGGAATTTTATTCATTTTGTTTTTAAATATAATTTAGAAAATTCATTTAATTTCAAAAGTTTTTTAAATAATTTTTTTGAAAAAAAATTTTATTTGCTTTTTTTAAATATATAAACGTGTATACAGACGCGTACAAACCCCAAACGCGCAAAACTACCGTCAAACGCTCACTGTATGCGCCAAACGCCTACGTATGGTCACCTTAAACTTTTCTCTGTGATTTTCTTTTTGTTTTGCTCATTTTGCTTTTAATTTGTTTGATATTATATTATCCTTTTTGTTGCAAAGCAGCTAAAGTATTTCCCAGCAGTCAAATTTAACAGTTTAAATACATTATTATGTTTAATAGCACCTTTGTAATTACCCATTGTATTTAATGATAGCAGAACATACTTTTATCTCTAAAACAGTTTGTGACACAAAATGAGAATTTAAGCACTTATTCTAAACTAATTGGTTAGAAGACATTAGGATTTTGGGTAAACCCATGTAAACAATTTTATAGAAGATTTTCAGAGCTAAGATCTTTAAGATGCTTTTAATTTCTTCTTTTATAGCAGATGCAAATTTAAATGTGTTTTGTAGGTTTTACCTTCAAGTTTATCTCTTCGCCATTTACACTAGCTCTTTGTTGTTTAAGGGCAAAACCAATTATGCAAAAACTCATTGTAGCTCATATATTTACTTCTTAAATGTGATTATTTTTTTATCTCAGTAGACATGCAAAATTTAAAACAGCAATCACAAGATATATTCTAGTTTAAGGTTATGCAAGAGTTCTAATTTTTTTATATGGTCAAGACTGACAGTGAACTTGTCATTACAATCTAGACATCCACTTACAAATTGACAAAAAGACAATTTTGCAGTATTTCAAAGTGAACTAATATAAAGAAGTTAAAATCTCATTAGTCAAAAGTTAGGAGTGAATCACCTAAACTAATTTTTGATGACAAAGCAGCTTCCTTTTTTTGGTTTATTAATTTGATTTATTACAGTACATGTATATCTTTTAGATAAAAACTGCCTTTTCTGTTTAATCTTATTTTATTTTTGTTATTATCCATATTTAATAACTCTATAAACGTATACAGAATAAATAAAGTTACTTGTATTACTGAGATAAAAAATTTTGGAAGAAATCACCATACCATCTGTGTTGACATCAAGACAACATAAGTAACATTAATTCTACCTTTTTAAATGTTTCATTGAAATTGAAACTATAACTTGTAAATAAGAAAATGCCCTAAAGCATATTAGACAGTTTGGAAAATGCATTGTGCAAAAGATTTGTCAAAAAACGAGTAAACAACACGGTTGCTAAGGTATTGCTATGGATAACATTGTTTAATCTATGCCAAAAAAACGTAAATTTCTTTATAATGGAACGTATAATTCATCTCAAATGATATATTTTTGGAATTTGCAATCTTTAAACCAGATAAAGAATCAATATATATATATATATATAATATATATATATATATATATATATATATTTTTACATTAAGATAGGGTTTAGCCACCTTATACGCTGAAAGATTATACTTTAAACTTTAAATTTATTGATCAATGTAAATCTATTTGAGAGTAGTACATCCTAGTTAATGTAAAAATACTTTATCAACTTGTTGCTTTCACGTTTGGGGCCTGGGCGATTGTTTTGGTCATTTTTGTTCACAGGCTCAAATTATTGTAATTTTGTAGACAGCATACTTATTTGATAAAGGAATAAACATATAAGTTTTTGGAGTTTGCTCCATGTCTAAAAGTAATCTCAAAGACCAAATAATGTCGTATTTATTCCTGACATTAAATAATCATTAGAAATTTTTGTTATCTTTCTTTTTAAGTAGAACTGAATGTCGTAAATTTCATGAATTCAAGTTGATTCTTGTAATTCTATTGTGAAAAACTCTAAATTAATTAAAATCATGTAAAATATTTTTGTCGTTTATGGTTTCAATAGTTTTTAAATAATATAATACTTTTTAAGTAGGAATGCATCATTTAGCCGATGCATGGCCATCGGCATCGGTTTTGGTAACCATCTGCTGATGCCGATTGTTTTGAAAAATCAGTTTTTTTACTTATGTGTTTTCGTGCAAAAGTATATTTGCTTCATAAACGAAAATACAAGTACAAGATTAACTTATTGTATAGACATATCTGCAACTTTTATATATTTTTTGAATTGTTTTTTATCAGGGTTTCTCTACATTTAGAGTCAAATTATAACTTAGGAAAGCAATTATATGAATCATATGTCTAAACTAAGCAAAGTATACTATGAAAATTTTATTTATAAGTTTAAATCCTAGACTATAGTTAAGTAAAGTTAAACGATAATTTTCATTTACTCTACTAGATTATTAGTTTATTAGTACAGAAAGAAACATCGTAATAGCAGAGCTTTTTGAGATGAGTTCACACTGTATATATATATATATATATATATATATATATATGTATATATATATATATATATATATATGTATATATATATATATATATATATATAAATATATATATATATATATATATATATATATATATATATATATATATATATATATATATATATATATATATATATATATATATATATGTATATATATATATAAATATTTCATAATACTAAATTTACTTTTCAGCTTTTGCTAGTTTCGGATTAACAAATTTTTCAATTAGTGGTCCAATATATAAACGAATCGAAAATGAATATCAAAATTTTATACGATTGGTTTGGAAAGTCCAATGGAATAATCAAAAAAGTAATGCTTTTTTTGTTTGTTTATTTTTATATTATTATTTTTTTATCTCAAACTTAACATTTGAGTGCATTAAGTTTCATAAGGGATTATAAGTAAACTCATTAGTGATAAAGTGATTATAAGTAAATTCCCATTTTATTTGAGAGCATTAGACTCATTATATGATAATGATAATGAATGCAATCCAGGGATGAATCTAAGTCATTTAATAAGGTGGTAGTGGTGTGGCGATTTTCAGGTTTCTTGGTTGGGTTGAGTTAAACAATGTAGGTCTTTTTTACAAATGCGCAAGCGGAAGACTTAAGACATTTGACTCCAACTATGTAACGTATCATGTTGATTTTAAAACATTTGAATTGAACTCTATATTAGGCCCAACTAGCACTCTGGATTTTAAATTTACTGAATCTCTGCAATACTTATTTTCTCATTAAAAAGAATCTTAACTTGGCTGCACCAAAAAAGGATGAGCTCAATTATGCCTAAATTAGAATTACGCTGTAGAACCTTTAGCCTTCCTAGAAATTTGTTTTTTTTTTTATCTTAACAAATTCTTAAAAATGGTAACCACGAAAAACTAAACATGCCTGTTCATTCTATTACTCGATATGAAAAACCTATATTAGAAAAACCCCAGACAAATCCAAAATTCATCTATTAATATATAAACATGAAACTTAAAGTTAAAAATTAAATAAGATTTATGAAAAAATCAAATAATACAACTGAACAAAGCAGTATAGCTGCAATTTTTAACAATTTCTTTTTATCTGTAATATTACACCTCTCCACAAAAAAAGGAACCAAACTTGGTATATCAAACTAAAGACCCATTTCTTCAACAACAGTCTGCTGCAAACTTCTAGAGCGTATTGTAACAGAGTGTTTAACCAAGTATCTATCTGTTAAAAGTTTTTTATCTCTAAATCAGCACAGATTTGTTCCAAATAAATTATCTACTACAAATTTATTACAAACTGTAGATCAGATATCATATGCAATTGAAAGAGGTTAAAGTGTAAATGCTTTATACCTAGATTATTAGCGTTTGACACATCTACTCATGGTCTTATGCTCCACGAACTTTCTGGTTATGGTGTCTCTTATATGATACTTAATTGGATAAAATCTTTTCTCTTCAGCAGAACACATCTTTTTTTTAATAACTTAAAATCAATTAGTTTACAATTGCGGTTAAATGCTTTTACTTAAGAACAAATATCTTCTGAATAAAATGTCACATAAACAACTTTTTTGATGTCTTTTTAAGCCTTTCTAAAAATTCATATGTATAATATATGTATATACATATATATATATATATATATATATATATATATATATATATATATATACACACACATATATATATATATATATATATATATATATATATATATATATATATATATATATATATATATATATATATATATATATATATATATATATATATATATATACATATATATATATATATATATATATATATATATATATATATATATATATATATATATATATATATATATATATTTATATATATATATATATATATATATATATATATATATATATATATGTATATATATATATATATATATATATATATATATATATATGTATATATATATATATATATATATATATATATATGTTTAGTCTTTCTAATAGTATATATAAATATTTAGCCTTTCTAAATATTTATATAAGTAATGCGGTAGTGGTGTAGTGGTAGAGCGCTCGCTTCATAAATGAGTGGTTCCGAATTCGATCCCCACCACGTCCCAGGTAGTACCGCGCTCAACTCGTTTCTCCGCGCAGCGGCCTTGTTCGTCAAGGTTCGTGTTTCGGAGTTATAGAGTTGAGGTAGCCACAAAATAAGTAGCCTCCTCGTCTGTAGTGGCCTTCACGGCATTGAGGAGGTAAAGTAAAATAAAAATAAAAAAACTCAAAAAACCAAACGATGAATTATTGTATCAAATCATACATCCCAAATTCTAAAAGTAATCCCAATTTCAAATAATAACAGGCAAAACCAAAATTCCTCCAATGAAAATGTATTCGATTCCTCTAAACGATAATTTGAAGATGCCCTTTAAAAAAGTGGCTTTAAAACCTTTGATTTATAATTTGACCCCGAAAAAAAGAACACAAAAAGTAGAAATAGAACTAGAAATGTAATTTGGTTCAACAAATAAAAATGTTAACAAAAATGTTTCACTAACATAAGAAAATTGTTTTTAAATTGGTTAATAAGCATATTCGGCTCTTTAATAAATTATGTTAATTGTTAATGAAATTACATTTAAAGTTAGCTACTGATGCACAAAAAGCATGAAAAGAATTACAAAAGGTCACACCAATGCTTTGTTAAAAGAAAGAACCCTGATTAAAAAAAACTACAGAAAAATGTAATTGTTAACAAAAAAAACAACTGTCCAATGAGTAGAAGTTGTTTATCAAAAGATGTGGTATATAAATGTGTTGTTTTCTTTAAGAATGTATATAATAAACAATATATTGGCTTTAGAGATGATGAATGGAAAAAATCTTCGGCCAATTATGAACAATTCTTTAAAGAATAAAATGTATTCAAAAGACACCATGCTGTCAAAATATATATGGGAATTAAAATATAAAGATATTATTGATTTTATATTGAACTGGTCCATTCTCAAAACTGTACCTGCATATGGAAATATTTCCAAAAAATGCTTAAAATGTCTATAAGAAAATTTTGAAATAACTACGCATGCAAACCAAGAATGTTTATTAAACTAAAAATCTGAATTGATTTTAGGCACGAAAATAAGTTACACCTAAAAAAATATAAAAATAAGCGAGCTCAAATAATAGTTACATTAAATCCCTCTTTTTAAAAAAATATTTCTCTAAAAAAAGTAACCAGTTCTAAACACTTCTTTTTATAATAGTGTCAGGATATTCTACAACTGTGTGAAATTTTACAGAAGCTACATTTCGACTTTCTGTAATTTATTTTTTCGGCATAAATTGAAGTTTTCTTAATTTGATCATTCATTTCTGCTGAGTCTTTATTGATGAAGCACAGTATTGAATGAAAAAAAATTTTGTTAAGTGATTTTCTACAAATTTATAAATGATCTGTTTGTTTAAGAATATTGAACACTCTTTTGTAAAATACATTTTATATTTTACAAAAAAATTTTATGCAAAACTTATTTGTAAAATATATATATATATATATGTATATATATATATATATATATATATATATATATATATATATATATATATATATATATATATATATATATATATATATATATATATATATATATATATATATATATGTCCATAAATATTAAAAAAACAAAATATACTTTCTTCCATCGTCTTCATGAAAAAGACAACATACCCTTACAACTTCCTAAGCTTTTTATTAATAACTTTTATGTCAAAAGAGAGAGTTCTTTGTTGTTTCTAGGCGTTGTTTTAGATGAAAACGTAACATGGAAGGAGCACATACGAATAATCCAAAATAAAATTTCGAAAAACATAGGCCTTTTATACAAAGCAAAACAGTTGTTGAACCAAACTTGTTTGAAACTTATTTACTTTTCTTTTATTCATTGCTATCTAAAATACGCTAACGTTGCTTGATGCAGCACTAATGTATCTAAAAATAAAGGGCTTCTAATTAAACAAAAACACGCTCTAAGAATTATTGGAAATGTGAATCGCTTTTCGCACACTAAATTACTTTTTAATAAATTCAAAATACTTAACGTATTTCAACTTAACCTATATCATATTTTTATATTTATGTTCAAAGTAGATAAAAAAATGGCACCCATTTTATTTAATTCATTTTTCGAAAAAATAAATCATTTATACCCAATAAGATTTTCAAACAACAATTATATTCAACCAAAAAAATATTATTCTGCGACTAGGGTCTCGATAGCAATCAGAGGACCTAAATTATGGAACACCCTATTGGATAATGAGTTTAAAAAAATTTCTTTACTTAATCAATTTAAAATAAAAATAAAAAGTAAACTTTTGATAATTGACAATGAACTTGACTTCTTCTGAAACTTTTAAATAGGAGTAAGTAAATCACTTGTTTTTTACTTGATATTTAATTTATTTTTAACATATTAATTTTTGATTTTAATTTGAATCTTTACCTTCTTAAATTATCATGTTTTATCTCATTTTTATTTACTATTAAAATTTGAAATCCTAATGAAAAAAAAAATAAAAAAAAATATTAAATTTTAATGAAAAATATTTAGATATTTGTATTTATATATGTACCTTACGCATATCTTATATTGTGATAACGGATTTTTTTTGGTTTTTTGTTTTGTTTGTTACTTATATTCTTGTTTGAAGGGGCTTGGCGATAAGACTGAATTTGTCTTCTTCTTGCACCAGCCGTTTATATACAGTTTTTAAAGTCTAATTTTGTAAATATTTTCTTTTTGGCGAAATATATATTATATTATATTATACATGCATTTTTTTCTTTTAGGTTTTGAAAAGGGTGAAATTGCAATACTTTTTTCATCCAAACATTGTACAAATGGTGGCATATTTACAAAACAATTTAAATTGGTAAGACTATATTTTGTTTCAATATACTTTGTTTTCTGAAATTGGTGTCTGTTGCACAGATTAATAAGTGGTGCATCTAATAACACAGTTTTCTCTCCAGTTGGTTAAGATTTGTCTAAAATAAATGATTGGTCAGTGACAAGTATATTACAGCATCAAGGTTTAGCCCTAATAATAGTTGAGTAGTCTGTAAATTAGTGAGTGTGGCAAAAATTGAAGAAAAGTCAAGAAGAGTTTATGAAATTGGGTTTTAAATATGAAAATAATGAAGAGTATTCCTAAATTAGAAAACAGGATAAAAATAGTTGTTTGTAAAGTATTTGCTAAAAATGTGTCAAGTATAAAATGATTAGATATGATGACTTTTGACACAAAGTATTCTGTATGCTACTTTCTTGAATGCTACTTTCAAGTGTTGGTATTTTTTTAGCAGAAACCGGAAAGAAAATCATGAATCAGAAATCATGTTGTTGAGATAAGACGAGTGAATGAAAAAGAGATGGTATTAAAATTAGAAGTTTAGTTTTTAATATGCTTTTAGTATATGAACCTCTAACAGGTAGGAATTCACTCCCAGCAAGGCTACAAGCAACCACTATTGTAAGTTAGGAGTTACAAGAAAAAAAAAAAAAGTTAAAGAGCAAAGAAATGGTTTATTAAAGACTTATAAAGTTAAAGGTATCTATAAATTCAAAAGTCTTTTATAAACCATTTCTATGCTCTTTAACTCTGTTCTTTTTTATAGACTTATAAAGTTATATATCTAAAAATCCAAATGGCTTTCAGAGAATGTTACAAAGGTAAAGAGCAGATGCGGACATAGTTGTAAAAAAAACAATTAAGTTTAATAAAATGTTGAAAATGTTTGAGAATAAAAAAGATTCTTGGTTCATGTATTGTTTAACTAATTACAATACTAATTGGTTAGTTAATTGGTTAGGAATAACGGATTCAGGGAAGTATCTATTAAAAGTCTAGACAAAAAAACAACTATTCATTACTGAAAGTTTGCTTTAATCGAAAATTGCATTATATTGATTTTTAGAATTTGTTTTAACCTTTTGATCATACAGATTGTATGATCAAAAGGTTAAGACATAATTGAGATTGCCATGTGTTTTTAAGTAATTTCTAAGCATTGTAAGTTTATTTATCATCATTGCAATATTAATACTATCCGTATATTGTCAGTGAAAAACCCAGAGTTTATTTGGGAACACGAAATAATTTTCAGCAGCGTTAGGGAGGGGGGGAGGGCTGATGATTTTGAGTTCATTCCCCCACTCCTCCATCTCCTCTCTTAGTTTAAAATTTTATCATTCAAAAAATATACTTGCGTTAATTTTTACATTAGTTCATTTATTATCAAAAGGAGTTTACACTTAACTGCCAAAAAACAAAAGGTACCTTTACTGTTATTGATTTTTTTTAAATATTTCTATCTTTCACAAATGCAAATTTTTTATACATCCTATTGTTATAAAATTTTGCAACAAGTTTTTAAAACTAAGTGTTGTACATTCGTTTTTTTAAAACTCACGTTTAATTTTTACTTAAGAACAGTTACGTCATGTAATTATGTAATAAAGCAATTTATTTTTAATTCATTTTATTGTCCTCAATCAAAAATACGGTAGCTAAAATAAACTAAAAATTATTTATATACTAATGCATTTAAATCTGATAATTTTTAATAGAAATTTTGAAAAGAAAAATTAAAAAATAAAACTAATTTTTTAATGCTTTTTTTGTTGGCGCCCATACCGCTCAACCAGGTCTGGGTTCGTTCCTGATTGTAATAATTTACTTGAGTTAATATTGTTTGCACTGTTTGTTTTTACCATTTAGAAAGATAGTTCAATCTATATTTGTATTAAATATTTATAGTTTGAGGGTGCGATTTCGTTACATCTACGACAATGAGCTCTGTCGTTTTGAATTTGAGCACTCATGCCTGGCCAGAAAAATCTTCTTTTTGCGTTTCCTCTCATTGCAGCTACACCTTGATTTCCTTCATCTGAAAATATGAATACGCTAATTTAATATTATTATTATTAGTCGAGTTACGTCATTTTCTAGGCTTTTCTATTTTAAAGTAGTTTCTAGGCTTTTCTATACGCGTTTTTTTTTTTAATTTTATTTACTAACAACGCGTATTACGGGTTGCTTACTGCTAGTGTAAATAATTGAGTAAGATTGATCTAATTTTATTTGGTATTAAGACACTATCATCTAAAAATATGAGACTATTTATGACGTATAAATCGTAACGTTTAGGCCAATTTTCTCTAAGATGTGTTGGTATATTTTGTTTGTTTTCTGGGAGTCCTGTTTGTATATGTTGCAATAGATCTTGATATGTAGAAGCAATTGATGACTCTGTAATAATTCTATCCATTTTAATAGGGCCGTTAAAATTATTAAACAAAGAATAAATGGTTCCTAATAAGCCGCTTTCATTATCGCATGTTTTGTTTGAGGTATTACTGTTATTGTTAGTAATTCGTGACATAGCATCAGAAGCCAGGTTATGTTTTCCAGGAATCAAAATAACTTTGATATTATAGATTATTGCTTTTTTGCGTATTTTAAGGAAATAAGGGTTCTTGATCTAGTCTAGCATTTGATCGTTGAATATTTTTACTAATGGTTTATGGTCAACTGCAACAATTAGGTTAGGACATTTCATCACAAACATTTTGCAACTTTCTAAACCATATAATAATGCTCAAGATTCGCCTTCAATGGCGTCTCTACTTTCAGCGTCTTTTGTCAACCGGGAGCCAGAACAAACAATTTTACAATGAGATGGGCCGCATATTACATTATCAATGTCAGGGCATTCAAAATGTTTTTGTGTTAGTATAAAACCTATACCTGATTTACTCCAATTGGTACATAAACAAGTTTGACGATTTGTGTCGAATTCTTGTACACCTTCTTTTATTAATAAATTAATTAATATTTTAAGCTGGGATTCTTGAAAAAGTTTTTCAAGGGTTTGGTCCCAATAAAATTTACCTTTCTTGCTTAAGAGGGTACGGAATGGAGTCATTATTGGATAAAAACTATTCCGTTGTCTAAAAATAGTTTAATATAGGACATAGTATGTCAAAATGAGGATTCAATGTCGTTATCTCAAAGTAAAGAATCATCAATACATCTGATAACTCGTGGAAAATTATGGGTTAAATTGTAAAAAATTTAGTGCATCCACCGTTTGATGCATGGAATCATTGTGTTGGTCTTAAATATTAATAGTGTCCCCATTCTGTTATAAAGGTTGAGGTCGTTTTAACATTTTGTGAGAGAGGTACACTATGATATCTATTCCAAGTGTCAATGATAGTCTTTTTTTTACTCATTGGGATTTGATTAATAATATTAAAGGGCAAAATAGTGTGATGCCTGACTCTCAACGTCACGTCGTTTAAACGTTGTAGGTCAACAGTTCTTCGAGGAGAACCGTCTTTCTTTGGTACAATAACTATTCTGGAACACCATTCCGTTGGGGTTTCTTGTGATACTGGTTCAATAATACCACATGCTACGTCGCCATCAAGTTTCTTTTTTACCTAGTTTCGACCATGATATGGTATTAGTTTATGTACTGCACTTGAATGACCCCATCCTTGAATGTTATTTTTAGTGGTCTTATCTTTAGTGGTCCTATCATTGATTGTAATTTTTGGTGTGCGCATGTACTAAATGCGCTGTTGGCATAAAAAAAAATTAATACAGTTTTCAATTACTAAGCGATTTTCTATTGTAGCGACGATTAGCATCACTTCAGGTAATGGTGGACTTATAGTTCTAGTAAAACAGCCGCATTTATCTAATGTATATTTGTTTTTATTGGTTTCTTTTTGACTAGATAATTTACTGATGTTTGTATTTGTAAAGGAATTAAAAAAACTGATTTGAAAGACGGATAGATTTTTTAATGCGGTTTGTGATAAGTAGATTCCACTAACGTTGTCGCATGTGTATAATAGTTGTGTTTTTGACGCATTTTTATTTAATAATTTTACTATTAAAACACCTTTAACTTTGAGACCGTCGTCGGCGACGCCCCGGATTTTATTCTTGATTTAATTAAATACTGCTCTGGTATTGACCATTTTTTTAATATGTCTGAGCTAGCAGTGCATGTTTGGGCACCAGTATCGGCTCTAATTATTATTGTTGTATATGGTAATTTTATTTGTTTTATGTAGTTTTTTGATGAAGGTTTTATTCTTTTATGTGCCACTAGGTCCATTTTGAGTGTTACAGATAAGGTTGATAGTTGCTCGGGGTTATTTACAGTAAACTTGTTTTTATTCCATGTTCCGTGTGGTAAGATTTGATCTTTTAGTCATATTTTGACAGTAGTTACTGATGATATGAATGATAAATCTTTTTGATCATCTACTTTTATGCAGAATGTCTTAGTGTTTTCTCATACATAATGAAAGTGATTTTCTTTGGCGCAATTTTTATATTTTTTACTGTATGCGGGGCAATGCCTTCTTCCAGTTGGGTGTCTCTTTTTGCCGCATCCTCTGCATTTTAATATGTTTCTTCTCGGTGGACGGTCGGTTAGCTTTTTTAAAGTTGTTAACGAATTGATTTCTGTTAGAATTTCGTTTTGGTGTGCGGTGTTGTTGATTCTTGCTATTAACTGTGATTTGATCATATCTTCCGAATAATGAGATGTACATATTTATAGGTTGAACACTCACATTTTCTATTAAAGTCACACAGCACTGCTTGTGATTTTATTCTTGCAATAAAATTTGTAATCGTTTTTCCGTCATATTGTTTCGTTGAGAAGAATTGTTATCTGTATACTTCAGAATGGATTGATTTAACAGAAACTGATTTGCTATGAGCTAGAAGCTCTGCTTCGTCGGAATTATTAAGATTTTCCGGACTAACAAAACTGAAGAGCATCTCTTTGACTGTTAAGCTGCAAGTCAGTCGCAGCTCATAATAGATATCTCTTGGTTCAGTTAATTTTTTAATTTCTTTATACCTCATCCATGAGTCGAGAAAAATTATCCATTTATTTTCTGAGATATTGGACTATGGATGGTCGCTTTATTTCCAGTTGTCGTGTATTAAAATTGTTTGTTGAAGTTAATAATGAGATATTATTTTGATTTCGTGATGACATTATCGTTTTCATCATTTTGGTTATGATTCTGCATATGCGTTTGTTGTTGCTGCATATGTAGAGCTGCAAAAAAGCTGTACAGATGATGTCTAACACCATCTGTAGAGCTTTTTCGTCGAAACTTTTTAAATTCAAATGTTTTTTCTGATTTATAAGTTGTCATATATATAACTAATTGTAATAATTTTTTTTCGTTGTAGCTGTAATATAGTATTCTGAAAATAACTTTTTTTTATATACGTATTGCTTACTTTATTTTAACTTTTAAATTTTTGCTTTGACTAAATCCTACTCATAGCGTTATATATAATAACATAATTCTAAGCATACACAATTGTTCACATCTCTTCTAAAAACTAAATTACAAAAATCGTAAACGCAACCATTGTATACACTAAATGTCATATAAGAAATTGTATAAACAAGTTAATTACATGTATGGCGTATTATACAGTGTTAATATCAAAGTTTTAATGCTAAGTTTGCGAGAATGAATGATAGAAATATCAGGAAAAAGTTAGCTAAATTTCATTGAAATAATCAATGAATTTTTTCTAGAACTATAGTTGCCACCTATATTATACTTTTTGTACCTAAAAATCCTTTAAAACAAAAGTTCAATTCACCACATGCAGAGAGAGTGTTACAATGTATGACAGCAAAAGCTGGAAAGCATGAGCATCAAAAATAATAACCAGGTCAGACATCCGACGCAAAGAAGATGAAAAATAGATATAAGCAGAGTTTTTCGAAAAATTGGTGATTTAAGATATAAGTAGTGACTCTATCTGATAGGGTGCATTGAGTATATCTGGTAACCGGTATTGAGTATATCTGGCGTCTCCACATGCTGGATGCCCCATAGATAAAACTCCTTCATTAAAATTTTATTTTTTCTAATTTGTGTAACAAATGATGGTCCTCAAAACTGTTATAGACTTAGTGGCTCTCTAGGCTTAGTCTATCCTTAATTTGGTAAAGTCAGGGTTAATACCTTGTTTTAGTAGACATGTTGAAGCGTTTCTACATAAATAATTTAAATAAGATGGTTCAGCAGAGCTACACCAATTGACTCTTATTAAGGAAAAGGTAAAATGTTATAACATTCAAAAAAAAAAAAAAAGAGAAACGATTAGTGTGCTAACGCCTTTGCTAATAACCATTATGAATTCTTTTATTTTTTTAACATCTTTGCTTCAAACAAGACTGCAAGCAACCACTAATTAGAGTTGGAAGTTATTGGAAGAGAAAAGATAAAGATTATAGAGCAAGATTACAATTGACAGACAACTTAATGGATTGCGAATTATATGATTAAAGAAAGCAATATGAAGGAATTAATTCCAAAGAACTGATGTTTGAGGAAATAAAATAGAGGAATAATATTTTTTACAGCACTTAGGAACAGTGACAGAGGAAGGATGAGACTTAAATAAATAACAAGTAACACGAGAATGAGTTTTAGTATATGGTATAACAAACGGATGTTAAGTTAATCGTAGAAAATGGAGGGTAGATGACTCAATAAATACATTGCCATTCATAAATATAGGAAGGTCTAAACTATTGCGATAACGAATGGCTAAAAAAAAAAATTTTTATCTGAATGAAAGTTCAAAAAGCCACTGTGAGCCCCATACTGTACCAGAAGTGAGATCTTTTTCAAACTCGAATGCCTCCTCCAAGCAATCAGAGAGTGTTATCTTCTTTTCATGACAAGAATAAATGGTAGTATCATCATCGAACTACCACTTTAGGTGGCATAACATCTGCAAGATCGTCAATGTAAGTTAAAAAGAATATAAAGCCAAGGATTGAACTTTGAGGAATTCATGAATTTACTGAATAAGAGGAAGAGTGCTGTCCATCGAGAATAAATTTTATACTATGATTGGAAGGGAAATAGTCAATAATCTTAAAAATGTTACCAAATACACTGCAAGAAGAAAGTTTATGGAAGAGACCAGCAACCCAAACTTTATCAAAAGCTTTAGAAATGAGTGATGGCCTTAACCACTCCACCTCTATTAAATGCACTTTAAAAGGTATCAGTTATTAGTTTTAACAAATCAGCTGAAGAACGAGAAGATCAAAACCAGCATTGATGATCAGAAAGTAAGTTATGAGACTCAAAATAATAGATTAAGTGTTTGTTAATTAAAGACTCAAAAAACGTGCTTATGATAGGAAGAAGACAAATGGGACTGTAGTTAGACGAATCGGATTGCTATCCATAATTTTTGAAAATAGGGATAAGAGATGCCGCTTTTCAGCAGGCTGGAAAACAAGACTTTGATAAGCACTTGTTGAAGAGATTTAAAATTATAAATAACAGCTCCAGAGAACACTTATGCAAGACGTTAACAGGTCTGTTGTCCGGGCCACAAACTGTAGAAGAGTCTAAGCAGGGAATTACTTTAGATACTTCAATTTAGCTTTGTCTTTAAGTGTCTTGTCCAAGTTATGCAATCACAAAAATTATGCTATAAACAATGATATTAATGAATATAATTTTGTTTTTTATTATCTAATTAGGAGCTTTTTTTAATTGTTTTATAATATACTTTTAAATTTCGTTTCGATTTTATTTTTCAACGACCCACAGTGTTTTTTTTAATTTGATAAGGTAAATGGAAATTTTTACAAACCTTATCAATTATACTTTTAGCGATCATTATCTGGTGATATTTCATTAACTAACTCTGAAGATGATGATTTGTCTGAATGTCCTGAGTTGCAACTTATAGTATGGTTTAAAAGTTTGTATATACAAATATAGTTGAATATTAAGTTTTGTTGCTATTTTTTATTGTAATTTTGTGTTTTTAAAATTAGGAAACTCGCGCATTTAAAGAAAAAAATCAACAATTATAATAAAAAAAAAACTTTTTATTCTAAATTTACTTTTTTAAATAATTTATAAAATGCTAAAATGAAGTATATTTAATAAAATGGGGACAAATTAAATATTATTATCTTAAAAAGTTTTTAGCATTAAAATACATATAAATTAAAATTTTTTTTTAATTATTTTTTTAAACTTCATCTAATTGAAAAAAACTAAATTTACCTTAATATTTAAGTAAAATAAAAAAAGCAAGTTGAAGGGTTATTAACTAATACATAATTAATAGAGCACTTAACTAACAAGACGATCAATGATATCAAAAAACCATCATATTATAAATTGCTGTAATGTATTTATATTTATTATATTGATTGAAGTGGTGTAAAATAATTTTGTTATGAGTTTTATTTATTTATTTATTTTTTCAAAGTTGTTTGGTGCTCTATATATATATATATATATATATATATATATATATATATATATATATATATATATATATATATATATATATATATATATATATATATATATATATATATATATAAAGAAAAGAGTAAAGAACTAATAAGCATAAATAACATTATTAATAGCAATAATGATAAAAATTTATAATATTAATAAAAAAGCATTACAATTGATAAAACTATAGGAAAAATAATTATAGTAAATTTTATAACTAGGACCGAAATTATAAAAATGAACAAAACAATTGCAAAAATTATGACAATAACCATAAAACTATTACTACAATGGCATTACTATCACTATCATAATAAATAATATTTTTAAGGCTTCTAAATTAAAGATAAATTAATGATAATAGTATTAATAATTATTATTATAATAATAAAGATTAAAAAAAAGAGAGAAAAAATTAAAAGTAATAGTAGTTTTATTAATACAGTAATATGATAAAATAATAATAATAAAATTTAAAATTAATAATCAGAAGATATATTTTCAAACAAAGATTTCTTAATATGGTTTCGATTGAGAAGGAGGTTAGTAATTAAGGAGTATAATGTAACAATCTTTTTTTAAATAAATGGTATTATTTGGTTCTACTAACAAAAATACATTAATGTTTTATAGAGAGCTTGAAATACTCAATAGTGTTGAAAAAAGCAGTGTGCAATATAACATTTTCAGTATTTTGAGTGTGATATTTATGCGTGTCATTTGTTTTAATAAAAATTTATTAAACAAATTGGGTTGATTATTTTGAAAAAAATTCAACTCAAAGAGACAATTATAAAGCTTCAAAAGGTTAAGATGAAGTTGAAGTTTTAGATTTTTTAATTCATACAACCTATTTTAGATATTAGATTGTAATCCCTTGTAAAGAAGATTGTGAAGGAGAAAATTTTTGTATTGTAAAAGAGAAAATGTCATAATTCTTGTAGAAGTATGTTGTAAGTTGGTTATTCTATTAACAGAACAAGGAATAGTAAATTGGTATTTGAATACGTTTAAGAACATAGTGTCGAATTAATAACAAAATACTATTGGCAAGTGAGAGCTATTTTCTTTAGTTAAATTAGTTGATTGTACCATGATAGGTTTTTGTCAAAAAGTATCCTAAGATGTTTTATATATTTAGATGGAAAAAATCCATTACTGTTAATTCCAATTTTCACATTATCTTTTTTTAATTGGAGGGTGTAAATTAATTTATTCGGTTATTGATATTTAGATAAATTTGGTTACTATTTAACCTATTGCACAAATAATGGGGATCTGGCAACCAAATATTAGGGACCTTTTTTACAAAGTTGTGCAAGTGATTTATTTATGCGCAGAAGATTAGTATTATCAGCGATATGACAAACAACCGAGTTATTTATAGAATGAGGCACATTGTTAATATATATTAAATACAGCCCTAGGACAAAAGCCCTAGGACAAAAATCTATGGAACATCATACTTAATAACTTTATTAGTGATTAGAACCCGTTAATCAAGACAACCTGAGTACAATTTGTAATACACAATGAAAACCAACCATTAGAGATACCCCGTACACCATAGTAATACAGTTTTTTAATGAAAATATTGTAGTAAACTGTATCAAAAGTTATTTGGAGATCAATAAAGGTGCCATAAGCAAAAGAACTATTATCAATTGCACCATGAATCATTTCAATAATGCTAATAAGTCATGGAAACTAGAATGTTTTGAACAAAATCCGAACTGGTGGCCATTGAGGCACTTAAAATTATCAAGAAAGTGGTAGATGCAAGAATACATAAATTTTTCAAGATTTTGCTGATATTCGAAAATAATGATATTGGTCTTAATAATATTCATGTTTTGAATCTAAAATATTATAAATTGGTTTAAAAAATGCAGTTTTTATAGTTTTTTTTTTTTTCAATAAAAATAAAGTCAAGGTGTAATGTCTTTAAATACTAAATGGAAATCATTATAGGATAAATGAATACTTTTTTGCAGAACTTCAGGATTTGAATTAAAGAATGAGTTGAAAGATTTTAAAATTTTAACGGGATCATGTATAGTGATGTTGTTTGAAGATATACAAGATGGAACAAGATTTCTTTTAAACGTATATTCAAAAGAGTTCTAATACCCTTCCGTGTAGCTCTGAAACTATTAGTAGTAAAGTAATTAGAAAAGTGCTTCTATTTGCTTCAAATAAGTGTTACAATTAAGTTTCTATAGGGTTTTGTAAGTTTTTTCAAGAATTATTTTTCATATAGATTTTTTGTTTTAAGTAACTTCTTAAATATCTTGTTTCGTTTTTTTGTTGAGGTTATTAAGTATTGGTGAAGTAATCTATGATTTGAGACTCCAAGTTAAACTACGATTACTTAGTTTTTTTAGAGGTGCATGTTTGTCTAGAGGAGAGTCAAATTGAAGATATCTTTAGCTAGTGAAGATATCGTTATATGATTTATTTGTATTATCGTTGGAGGCTTTTGTGAATTGCAAGCTTTTTATCTCTGGTGAAGTTTTTGAATGTAATTACTATATCCCAGTTTATTTTCAAGTAATCTCTTCTATATTTTTCACTGTTCAGTTTTTTTAAGTTTTGAAGAAAAATATTGCTTTTAAGAGAACTAATATTTCTTTTTTTAAAAGATGAATAAGTTAGAAACTGTGGCAAATGATTTAATGTTCTAAAAATTAGATTAGCGGAAAAATATCTTTGAATTTTCAATTAAAGTACTTGAGTGATAGTTAGTTCTTGTTACTGACTATCACTCAAGTACTTTAACTGAAGTTGAATTATCAATTAAAGTACTTGAGTGATAGTTAGTTCTTGTTAGTAAGGGTATGAAAAGAAAAAAGTTGTTTAATAAAATGTTGTTTATATAATCTGAGATTGAATTATTTAAATTTACTTTTATAAGATCTTTTATAAAATCACCCGTTATAAAGACAGTTTTATTTGATTCAATAGCTAGTTTTTCAAATAAAATAGCTAGATTTAAAACATTAAAGTTATTAATAACCATGCGATAAACACAGCCTATGATATTAGCCTTTGATAAACACACTATGATATTAGATCTTTTAGGAAAATGACTTCAACAAACACAAACTCTAAGAATTGGAGTTTATACTCAAGTAAATCCTTTTTAGATTTATAAATTAGTTTATTAGAAATATAAAGTAGAGCACCTCAAAATGAAGTTTTTGTTGGAGTATGTTCATAAACATATCCACTAAAATTTATTGGAGTTGTTGACAGTAAATCAAATTTTAACTTTCTATTTTACTATCAACAACTAAAATTATTAAAGATTTTAATTATACTAAATTTATATCTTATTAGAAATTATTTAAAATTGAAGCTAATGCATCAAAGTGTTTAACTAACGAAGTAAAGTTTAAATAAAATAGAGAAAAACAATTATTTATGATATTTAAAGAATTAATAAATTAAATGAAATAAATGTATATAACTAGACAAAAAACATTTTTTAGTTTTTTGAAAAATTTTATTTAGTTTTTTCATAAGCTTTATTTAGGTAAAAAAATTCATTCTACCCCTACATTTGGGCAGTGGCATAGTTAGGGAAGGGCAAGGGGCAGGTTGCCCCTAAAGACACTTTATTAGGAGAAACAAGTCTATTTAAAACCTATCTATTTAGCATCCCTAACCAATTATTTGGGTTCTCCTACCTTGCATCCCTACCTGTTTATTCGAATACCATAACACAGTACTTGACATTTTGTTTTGAAAAGCATAAAACTAGTTATTATAATGTGGAATATTATCTTTATTTTGTATTTTCAAATGCAACGACTTCACCAATTGGGTCTTTTTTTCCATACAAAATGAAAAAAAAGTAAAAACTTAAATAAGTAAAACTTTATGATGGTTTTTAAAACAATGTGTTTTAAAAACTATCAAATGAGTTGTTATAATGTAAAACAATATTTTCAACTTAAATAGAATGATTCAGCTAAATTACTATTTTTTTAAAAAAATTTTAATAATGATTTTTGTTTTTCTAGTTAGTCTATACTGATTTTAGAGAAAAAAATGTTTCATACCTTGTTATTGACTTAATTGATGAAGGTCTTTGGCCTATTAAGATTAATGATGATATGCAAAACATACATGATTGTTGAGGTGCTTCAATAGTTAAGCATCTAGATTCTGATTATGATAGAATGATTTGTGAAAGTGAATTACCTAAAAAAAAAGGAAATAGAAAACTTAAAAAATGTTATAAAGCAATTAGTTTGTAAAGTTAACTGCTTTGATTCAATTGCAATAATTTTTATTTTTATGCTTCCCTTATTCTAGGAGTCATTCCTTCGAGAAACAAATTGTAAACAAATCTACCTTCAAACAAAAAAGGATTAAACATACAACAAGGTGATATTAAACTAGAAACTTTAACTTAATTCAAATTAAAACTT